ACATATACATATGCATACATATATATATATGTATATATTGAACCTTTTTAAACACATAAATTTCTTTTAACAAAAAAGCATTTTCATATATATATATACATATATATATATGTGAATATATACTTATATTGGTATATAGCATGTGCTTATACATAGATCTAGATCTATATCCATATCTATATCCATATCTACATCTTTATCTATATCTATACATATATATATATATATCATGTATGTTGTATGCTTGTTCATTTATTTATGGGCTTACGTTTTATTTATGTAATATGTGTGTATATACATATATGCAGTCTACATGGATAATATTAGTTATTGGCTTCGATACTCCAGCTACACAAACGACTCCTAATTGTGAGGCAAGGCACACCCTGCCGCACGAGAATCCGCTCCAACCTCACAGTGGGGATTCGGGTCTAGGACGAGACCCTCCTTTTCATCTCTTGCAGCTTAGCGGCCGGAACGCAAAGCCGAGTTTGGATCTTCAGCATCTGTCTCTCAAGTTCTGACATATTCGTGCTTTTGTTCCGTCACAGTTGACTGTCAATTGAAGAGGTGGGTTTGTTTGGACTCCTTTTCGTGTTACCACGAACCGTGTTGCTGATACCTACGATCGTTGCCGCAACGATACATATATGAAATCTGCACTGTTGGTCGTAGTAACCGTCGTCGTCGTCGCAGTAGCAGTAGCAGTAGCTGTGGCAGTGGCACAACAGCAGCAGTAGTAGTAGTAGTAGCAGCAGCAGCAGCAGTAGTAGCAGCAGCAGCAGTAGCAGTGGTAGTAGCGGTAGCAGTAGCAGCAGTGGTAATGGGTAGTAATGGTCGTAGTGGCTGTAGTGGTTGTAGTGGTAGTTGTGGTAGTAGTAGTGGTGGTAGTAGTAGTTGTAGCAGCAGTAGGAGTAGCAGTAGTAAAGTGGTAGCAGCACTAAAGTGGTAGTACTGAGCAGCAGTAGTAGAAGTAGTAGAAGTAGTAGTAGTAGCAGCAGCAGCAGCAGTAGTACTAGTAGTACTGATAGCATAACAGTAGTAGCCTAGTTGTACTAGCAACAATCTTCGTCGTCGTCGTCATCGTAGGAGGAGAAGCGCAAGAGTTGCTTCGGCGGCTGGAGGAGGTTCACGGTTCTCGAGCTGAGCGTCATGACGAGAGCCTCTTGTTCCCAATTCGTGCGTCAACCCGTTCTACACTTGCCAAGCGTGGAAGTGGAAGGAGCAAGCAATAGCAGTGCCAAGCTGTCCAGCAAGAAATGAAAGCCTCCAGAGCCTTGCAGAGTCCCCATTTCGCTGAGGGTGGGAGTTCACGCGGTAGTGATCATGAGGCATACCGACAGACACTGCCCTCAAATGCATTCTGCTTGGAATGCTGTAGTCATAGCTGGCGAGAGATACTGGCTCGTGGTTCCGCTGTTTTTCTACAGAACCCAGATTGCCTAGATGGGGACATCTGATATCCTGAGAAAGACACCTCGGAGCTTAACTCGGAGGCTGCGTGTCACGACTTCAGGGTCAAGATCTTGTTTAGGGTCCAGAGATTTTGCTAGGGGTTTATAGGGGTTTTCGGTTCAGAGCGGACTTTAGAGAAGCCCTAAACCTACTAACAAAGCCCAACCGCGCGAACCCGAAAAAATCCTGTCCTGAGCACTGAAGCTAACCGAAGCCTACTGTTTCTTTCCGACTTAAACCAATAGCCTGGGACGACCGCTGCGGCCGTGCTGCTTCTGAAGCGACTGCAGGCGGACGTTCATCGTGTCCTCAGCCAGGCCTCTGGCTTCTCAAGATAAAAAGAACACCACTGACAGTCATCTCACACTTATGGCAAGAAAAGAACTAGAAGCAACCAGAACCGGAAAGCGAAACGAGGAATCTAATCACACTGATCCCACCGATGCTGCTGATGATGATGATGATACGAAGAGATACGAAGAGTGTGTACAGTTACCAGAATAATTATCAGTGATTGATCCACAACCATGAGAGGCGGACGCTCGTCGAAAATCTTGCCTTCCTATCAGTTCTATCGATGAAAACCTTTCGACATAAGTACTTCCAAAAAGTATACAGCAGTTGGTCAGGTTGCGGCCCCTCTTCACCCAAGCAGGTAGTCTTACTGCGTCCATGAAGGATTCGTGCCATCCCCCCCCCCCCCCCCCCCCNNCCCCCGCCCGCCCCCGCCCGCCCCCGCCCGCCCCAAACACAAAACATGCCAGAGCTATTCCTTGAGGAAATTGGGAGCTTCGACCTTCATATGGTTTGGCACTTGCAGAGGGGGGAGTCCGTGCGAATGAAGGCTCAGATGTAAGGAGACTTCGCGCACTGCAGAAATCCACGAGTATATAGCTGATGACATGTCGCGGGGTTACCGAAGCCTCAGGGTTTTAAGGCTTAGGGGATGCCAAACCTCGCAAGGAACAGCACCCGAACCGTTGCAGCAGAACTGCGAACTGCTTGAGGCCAGCGGCAGTTGATGTCTCGCTGGATGTAGGCCATAAAAGTCTCTGGCGTGCCTCAGGGACAGCCACAATTGCGTAGACTCGGAATGCGCGTTAAGACAGCTCCCCTAGTTGCAGTATGGAAGGAAATGTTTGCTGGCGGAAGGTTTCAGATCTTACCACTCCGGGCCGGATGGGACCACCTGTAGTTTAGGGTTGAGGGGGTAACCTGTCACCTTGACGGTTAGCCTTGCAAAGAAACATGCTGACGAAGAAAATTAGAATAGGCTTCTGGTGTGTGACCTATCATAACTCTGACTATAACCATACATGGACTCTAAAAGGATGTTAGCAAAATCTCCAGGCTTACGACACATGTACTACAGAGCCCTGCAAAAAGGGGCCCCCTTTGGAGCCTGTTGGGAGCTCCTCCCGAGTGTCCAGGATGGTCGTGGGCGGCGCAGCGACGGCAAGGTCCTTCTGTAATACTCAGGATAATACTCATAATACTAGAATGATTACAACAACAAAGAAAAACAAAATAATACGAATAAGAACAAGAACAACAGCAATCCTCCGAATACCAATAGTAGTGCTCAAGCTAGGGCTTTTTTGGCGAACACCTCCTTCCTCAGGAATCTTCAGAGTAGCTAAGGGCTTAAGGCTTCGGGTTTGGGGCTTAGACTTTCGGTTTCGGGTTTCAACGTTGGCTTCACCTTCTCTTCTGGGCATGCCGCCCGGAGCCACCAAGCGCCTCCCTCCACATGAAAGTAGCTAGCATCCTCCGATAGTCTGAACCCTTCTTCATGGCTTTTCTTACACAGAAGCTTCCTACTCCAATTCTCTGATTGACGTTTGGTCTTGATAGGGGCTCTCCTCGACAATCCCCGCCATCGCGGAAGCACCAAAGTCCGAGTCCTGCCGTGCAGTGCATTTGTCCGCCAAAAGACCTGTACGATTACTGTAAGACTTTGTTCCTATCTTCCGTGACTGTTGCAACTGCTTCTGGATCTCGTTGCCCGTTGCCTTCCGGTAGTTCTTTTTCTAACGATCGGCTTTCGCTGATGAACGGGTCGCACCTCAATCGCGAAGTCTGTGGGACTTCAGAGGCTGCCTTGGAGGTCCTCACAACGGACGTACCTTTCTGCAAACCCCATCTGGTCCCAGAAACTCGGCAGTTAGTCCCGCCTTCTGCTGCCCGACGACGAGGCCAGTAGACCAGTCCCGCATCCAGTTGAGTGTCGAATCCAGCTGTTTGCCAGCACTCTTCCTCACTCTCTGTTCTGTGAGATAAGGGCTTTGCTTGTGCACGTTGAACGGAGCTCGCAATCGTTTGCAGCAAACTCTGGGGGGTACCAAGCCGCTTTTGCTTGGGCTTCTCCTTCTGCAGGAGGCTCAAGTCTTTGACGGCCTGCAGGGTCTGCATTTCAGGTCCCTTCGGAAAGCCCGATGCAGTAAAAGTAGTAGTAACAATGATAATGGTAATAATAATTAATAAGGATAAGAACAACAATAACCATGGTAGTTAATAGCTATAACGCAATGAACAACAAGAATACAAACAATAGTAAAATAATCATAGAAATTGTAACCGACAGCCGCGGGCAGCTTTGCCTTGACTGCGGCCCGCTTGGCACTGATCTTGGGCTGCTCGCGCTGCATCTCCTGCCATATCCTGGGCAAACAAGGCCCAACTAATCTACACAAAGCCCTATTCCAATCATTAAGGCTCCTTTTTGGTTGCTAGGCTTGAGTTTAGGGGGTTTAAAAGGTTTTAACGTGTTCCAGCTATGTAGACTGATGAAATGCACAATCCGAACCCGGGGCCCCTGAGAGCCTTGTTGCAACTTGTAGGTACTGAGGATTCTCAACAAACCACAACGCGGCAAAGGTAAGCAAATTGCAATTGCTCTGGGGAAAAGTCTGTTTGAATCTCTGCCTCAACGCCCTGGACTCTTCTCTCCGACCTGGATCGACCTGTAAGAAGGCACGACGACCAGGAACCTTAAGTCTTTAACAATAGTAGCAATAAAGACTGTCACAATAACAATCAGAATAGTAGTAATCGAAGTAAAAGGCAATAAGCAAAAGAAGGACAGCAACAATAATGACAGAAATAACAAAAGCCGTTTTGATTAAAATGACGACGATGATGATGATGGCAGTAGCAAGAATGAAAAAGTGACAAGAATGACAAACCTAACAACATTAACAAGCACCATCAAGACCACAAATAATGATCAACACAAGAACGACAACAACAACAACAACCACCACAAC